TTCAAGCTGCATGTACCACACAATAAAGGAGCATTTATCTGAACCAGGCCTGGTTTCATGATAATTCTTCTGAATTGGAGTTTGGACTTTGTGGACTTGACAATAGTTCATTTTGACTTCTTTTTTTCTTAGTCAGAATAATGATATTATTTTGTTTTTTAAGAATAGTCATTACCTAGAAAATTCTTCTTGTTTTCTTCAGGAAGGTCATGAAACACTGTCCAAAAGTTCTTGATTGTTTCATCTGACTCTTCAAAACCATTATATTTGGTGTTCTGTACAGAGAATAAATACAAATCTCCTTTGTTAATGGTCCAGTATCTCTTTATATAATTCAACCTTCATTGCCAACATAACCCAGTTAGATATTTCAGTCCACCCTATGTCTTTTTGTAGATAGAATCCAAGGCCACTGCACTTGAAGCGCTAAAGACTCCTTGGAGATTTTGCCAGGTTTGCCAAAAACGTAGTTCAAACAGTTGTTGCCTCTCTCCCCAAACTGCCTGTTGAACATGTCTGTAGAACTGTGGGCACTCAAGGCTAACTGCAAGGCTTTCTGAACCTGAGAACTGAGGGACATTGGACCGGGATACAACTTACCAACCCCCAATTTTGGCCCTAGGGAGATCTGCTGATTAATATTAATAGGTCGGGTTATATATTCTGCCTTTATTTTCAATGTTATTACATGTAAGAAGTCCAGCAGACCTTTTTCTTTTTTTGGCAGTGCTTTCAGTATGGATCAGTTCAAGGCATCTATTGCTCCAAGCAGCTTCTCTACTTCATCTAAGAGGTACATCACAGGACCAGTTAAATGATTGCACAACATTCAGGGATGTAAATGCGGATCCTAAGGCTGTTGCAGCCTAGGGGACTGCTATTATCTCAACCAGGGCTGACACCTACATCCTTAACCTGTGTAATCCCTATAGATATCTACTCAGAAGAAACCCCAACTGTGTTCAAATGGGATTTAATCGCAAACAAGTATATGCTTGACTGCTTTGTTAATATATTTATCTTGACAGTGTACCTCTCTGAATATTTAGCTATCTTCATTTGCTCACTCTCACATTTTCTATCCCAATATATATTTGAGAATCAATCAAGTTATATATTCAACATTCAGCCCTCCCACAAATTCAAAGAACAATAATACATATTCAACAAGGACACTAACTGAAATAAAGACTAGTATAATAAGGATTGCAGCGGAGGAGCAGATTCTACCTTTTCTAATTCGTCCCAGTCATATCTGACATGTCCAAGCAGGATAACTCGGAGTTCAACAGGAAGAAACATTTTCCACATTGTACTTGGGCAACCTCTTTGAAATCCATGCATGAAATCCCTGAACTGCTTTTTCACGGAATCATTGAATATGTAATTCACATAAGCATCAACATATTCTTTTCTGTAAATACATGAATTTGGTTATTTACTAGAGTTTATAAAAACAAAAATTGGCTCATAAAACAGCAGTTATGGGCTTGCAGAATGTGAGGGAGAGGGAGCAATACAGTGTTCCTGATTACACAATTCTGAATTTCAACCATCAATCAATCAAAATTCAATCAAAATGTATTTACAGTCCAAGATCAAATATGTTCAACTATCACGCTAAACCATTGTGCATTTAACCACTGTTTGCTAAATAAACAACTGGCTGGATTCACACAATACACATTGGACAGGGGTTCAGTAACATCACTTTTGTTTTGATGTCACTGCACAATTATACTTATGTCATGATGCCTGTGGTGTTGTTGTATGCCTGTGCAACACACTAAGTGAAAACAAAACAAGTCTAGTTGTAGCTTGAATGATACGCAAATCTAAGTCAATGACTGCCTGGTCACAGATGCTATCTGCACAAATTTATACCTGCTAAATCAGAAGTAAGTCCCAATGAATCCCAATGAGATTATTCCAATTAAAAGAGTAGATGACTAAAAAACTGATTTGGGAATTAAAAATCCTTTGGTTTGATTCTGTTTTTGTACTGAGTTTACAACATGACCTTTGGAAACCTACTCCCTTGACCTACCAAAAAACTGTGACAGTACTGCTGAATATCTTACGTACCCAACCTACATCACTGTAAAGTTGTTGAATCCCTTAGAGCCCTAAATAAAAGAATGCTAAGTATTATTTTCAGTAGGCCAATGACAGACTTGCCATCCAGGTTTCTAAACACCATCTGCTAATATGCATCATGGTGACTGGAGACTTTTAAAATCTCCTAAAAATCTCCATCTATTTACTGAGGATGTTTTTTGGTATCTGTCTCACTGTTCCAGTCATGAGTCAGCCCATTAGACCACAGTGAGAGTGGCAATGAAGTTGTGGGTTAGTTTATCTGTTCTCAGTCTTCCCATCGTTCTAATATGCTGGTTTCAACTCTCAGAATTCTAAGCAATGATCATGCTGCCTGAGGAATC